ATTTGTATTTCTTCAATACCTACATAGCCCACCTGTGATCAACAGTTTCAAGAAGGCCAATACGCTCAAACCCTTGGTCACAATGATTTGTGACTTCGCATTAACTCAACCATCGACGACCCTCGAACAGTCCCGTCTAACCAATTTCACTGACAAGTCTGGGGTCAACCAGTTGTATGGTTTTCGGACACTTTCCGAACTTGCTACAGCCTGGGATTGCCTCCCTAGATCGATAACATTGTCACCTTCCTGACATGACCATGATGAGATTCGAAACCGGTTCTCGTGGTCAGAAAGTGAACGTTCTAACTACTTGGTCCCTTTAAGATGTAGGCGATCATGGTTCTCCACAACTTCCTATCCTTTTTAGCTTTTAGCAGTGTTTGTCTTTTTGCTGTCTTTCTTAAGCCATATTCTGCTAAATAGTTATACAATTTTTTTAGGTTAGTTGCCATCAATATGTCCCGTGAGTATTAAATTTTCTGTTGAGGGGTCCACCCCTTTTTATACAAATGAACTCACCCAGTATATACATATACTACTGCAAGAGTAAGGCGAGAGCAAGACCGAGGAGTCCAGTCAAGTCCAGAGTAAAAGGTTGTAGGTAACCGGAAGAGTGAGGGTGAGGTAACAGCGTTGTAGGAGTCACAGTGAGCGAGCACGTAGACTCAGTAAGAAGTCATACAGAGATACTTCAATACCAAAGACTGTATATATATTTTGCTACTAACCCGTATTCCTGGAACTACTAACTTGCTTTACCAGTTTGTATTATTACGTTAATACATTATTTTCATATATTCATTCCTGGTGTTTGTTATTTATTGGTACCGGATTTCAACCCGGAATCCATAACATTTTCCAAGCCCAATTTTAGTATATTTTTCTGTGTTTATGTTCTTTAAGATTTATTGTGTCGAAGTAATAATAATTGTACGCCTTGCTCAAGTTGTATCAATTTGATGTTAGGGAAGTCTTTAAAAGACCACCAACACATTTTTGCCGATCTCAAATAATGCTGAGATTTGGCTTAAACCGTCTTATATAAAAGGCTTCAATTATCTTCAGACATCTTTTAGAATTAGGTGTTCATAGAACGAAAATGGTGTGGATTGATTGAAAATCCAACAGATAGTAGTAGTAGTAGTAGTAATAATAATAATAAATACTTCCTGGACTCTGGTCATCAAATGTGATAAGTTAATTTATTGACTCTCTTATCAACAAAAATACCAACGCATTTTCCTTACACACAGTTTTGTCTTTAATACCGACCTGAAGACGCTGAACCTAACATACATCGGCGTAACGCGTTGTCAATACAGCTTTTTTTTTTGTTTCGGATACTATTCTATATCCTAGTAAGCTAACATGTGTATTAATTTTATAAAAGAGTTCCTTGCACACATTCACTTTTGTTTATTATTATTTATGATGACATTTTTAAATGGTTGTACTTCCTACTCGATTCGATGACTGTTTCATTTTAATCGGCTTTAAAAAAAAAAAAAAATTGACAAACATGGATAAACATACCTGCAATAAATAAAACGTAGTGACAAAGTGACGTCCCCCACCCCATGATACCGCTTTTTATTTTATTTTATTTTATTTTTTAACTGCCATCAATCTTCTTCACCGACTCGGCACAGTTTATTGTTTCAAAAAGCGAGGATTAGAATTGGAATAAAAAACACATGATGAAAGTGAATTTGCACATTATTTGTTCTTGTTAATTTGCAACAAAATAAACAATATTTATTTAATGAATTGTTTATTTAAAAGAATAAATATTTTATTTACTGTATTTCATATAAAATTCTGTGAATTCCGTTGGTCCGTCTGACACACCCTCTAAAATAGCCATACATTCACCGATCGCAACCACATTTGGGAGAGAAGTACAAAAAGTGGGGTACAAAGTACAGTTGGTTTTATTTAAGTTGCGTAGCTTAGTACAATAAATTTTCATTATTTTGCTTGGAAAAATTAAAAATTATTTAAAATAACAAAAATACTTCCACTATTTTAAAAACAATTTATTTTGTTTTGCGAAATTGAGCGAAACTTAGAGTTTGTAAATCACGACAAAAAGTTAGCGATATCTTCCACACTGTGAGGATTTCAAAATGCGTCAGTGTTGCAAAAAAAAAAAAAAAAAAAATTCTAGTTTATTAAATTTGACACTCAGAGAAAACATATTGAAGTCAAGGGAGTCTACATAATGAGCTTGCATAAATGGTTGGCAGAACGGGATTATGGGGAGGCAGCATAACTAGAAAGACAAAATTTACCAAGAGCTACAAAGAACAGGAAATTGGGGAGAACCATGATCACTCAACGTCCTCAAGGAACAAAGAGGAAGAAGTTGTTAAGTTATATTTTCATTAATTGAGTAAACAAATTGCCTCTGATTTTATTTCGTGGAGAAAAATAATTGAACCAAAAAAAAAAAAAAAAAAAAAAAATATAAATTAATTAATCTTCTAAGCAATCACAGTGAAATAGATCCATGAAGTGTACCACTTTTTCTGTGGGTCTCTACCACGAATGGATCTTGGGCCTTGTATATATAGGGTGAATATTATAGTAAAAAAAAAAAAAAAAAAAAAAAAAAGTAAAAATTAATTGGCGTATCATGCGAATTTGAAGTCCTAATTTTGAAGCTAATTTTTTTTGTGGGGGCCGCATTATACACGAGTTATAAAATTTTTGCGTATGTACTGCTGATCCTGTCTATGCCGTTGACCAATCCATTGTAGTAAAAAAGTACAGCTGTATTTAAACTCGATTTTGATAATAAAAAATACACTGGTGTTTTTTTTTTTTACTTAAAAATGCATCCAATAATAATGCAGGTAAATATTCACATATCGTATTACAAAATACAAACATAGCGAATATGCATCTTTTTCATTGTTTACATTTTTCGGTTGTTTATGACTACGCGTTTTACGCAGCAAGTATAGCGTTAACTAAATAATACTTTTTTATCATTCTCTTTTACTTATGGGATAAAGAAAGAGAGAGGAAAAAAGGTTAGTTTATATTGTCATTTGGTCTGTCAAAAAAGGAACTCACATGATATACAAAGATACATGATAAATAAAATCATTTTTTTATAAGTGAAAATTTGGAGGTCGCACAATACGCGAGATCGCGCATTATACCAAGTGAATATGGTAATCACAAAATTACGTTTAAGAACACTTGGTTTCCCGCTCAGCTTCAAAAGCGGATGTGTTTTATCACTTTTATCAAAACAAGAGCGGGTATTTCAAAAGAAGGAATCGTTAAAACATCACAAAGCGCCACTGTTAGTTTAGTTTTCAGTAGAGATTTTGCATTTAGGTTTAATATTTTTATTTACAATTTTGTTTTTTTTTGCACACCAAATATTGCGTTACCGACTCTCATATTCCAAAAATATTTTTTTATTATAAATAAAAACAGAAATAATTCAAGAATTTTTTTACCAATAAAACTTGCAGAAAATAAAGAAAAAAAAAAAAAAAGAAAAAAAAAAGACATGCACGTGCAACTAGAGCAATCTATCCCGCCACCCTTAACGGAATAAAAAAGGTTCGTTTCACAGATTTATGAGCGAGTTCAATACCAGGCTACGGCAGTGGTGGACAAAAAGAGTTGAGTTTTAAAGGAAAATAACTGAGTCATCCGGAAGAAGCATGGTACGTGGAATTAGAACAATTTACCCGCTCGACGAAATAAAGGGTTCACTTCAGTTCAAAATTCCAATCACCTGAAGAAGGCCGGAGCATACGACGGCCGCGACGTCGTGAACATGACAATAAAGATGAGGACAACAGTCCGAACAATGTTAATGTCAAAAAATTTATAAACAAAAAAAAAAAAAAAAAAAAAAATTTGAATTGACCTTACCGCTTTTGAATGAAAGCCTTGGGGGAAAAAAAATGATGTATTTATTTTGGTTTTATAAACTGTGGCTATGTTCAGAACATGAAGCGAGATTAAAAAAAATAAAAATAAAGACATTTCCTTATTTAGTGTGGAAAAAATTGTTTTCGGCGCAAAAATCAGCAAAACTAGAGAGGTATATTAAAAAAAAATTTTTAAATATTTTCAGATATTATTTCAAACTTTCAGATATTTTGCCAAAAAGATTGATTTTCTGATATTTTTATGATCAGGTGTGTAAACAATAATAATGAAAAAAGCAATACTTGCCGTTTTAAAGAAAAAACATCATCACAGAGGCAGGTTGCAGTGAAATGCTCAAAATCCGTGAAGCATGAATTAGTTTATTTAACCGTGTAAAAATAAACTGACATCAGACCATGTGTATCGTTTAGCGATCAAAGTTGTTAAAAATGTGAACCACTGAATAGAAATCGTGTTTAGTTTAAAAATGAACACACAAACACGGAATTATAAAAGAAAATACCATTTTTAATGCAAGAAGTATGTTTAGTTGAATACATCGAAAAAAATATGTAGTTAAAATATTAAGGATAAACTTACGTGAAGAGGGCTGAAGATTTCTCGGCCCGAAAAAAAAAAAAAAAAAAAAAAAAAAAAAGCACTTCCGTTCAAAAGAAAAGAAAAAAAAGAAGTGATATTTGGTCTGATATGATGAGGAAGTGGGTCGGATCGAGAACTTTTCAACACACGTATTTCTTTACAAAATTCTAGATGACAAAAAAAAAAAAAACAGTTCTAAATTTGTATTACAGTCCTCATCTCATTCAAAGAGGGCAGTAATATGTTTCGTTTTTTAAGTTCTTTTCAAAGGTAAAATGAGTTTCTATTTTTTCGTCAATCTACCTTTACGTCACGTAAAGTTATCTTTTTTTTTTCTTTTTTTTTTTTTTTTTTTTCTTAGGTTTTCAAAAGAGGTATGTTTTTTCTCTTAACTAGAAAAATACAACTCCCAAAAAGTGAACGAAACATAAAGTTCATTTCTTGGATTTTTTTTTTTCTTCTGTAATGTTTGTTTCATTCCATTTCAATCGGAATCAAACGTTCTGGTTTCGGAGCGATCGCTTCGGGTGCAGGTGCTTCAATATGAAGAACTCCATCTTTAGTTAACATCGACTTGAGTTTAGCAGGGTCCACACTTTTCGGCAGGCTATACTGTTTGCTGAATTCCCTAAACACTTTCTTTTCTGGCGTATTTTCTTCGTGTTTAGCGTGAACGTAGAGAACATTCTCTTTGGTTTTTACTTCGATTTCGTCGGGTTTGAAATTGCTGACATCAAAACGAAGGGCCAGTTTCTTGTTACCGCCGCTGTCGGTGACGATGGGGCTTTCCACTTTAAGTAAACTGGATTGCATTGTCTCAGTGTCGATTGGCGCCAGTTGAAACAGATTATTTTGGATATGGCCCAGTTCTGAGTCGAAGGCTTTAAATTCTTCTTCCATGTCACGGTACATGTCGGCAAATAGGCTTCTCTGCCTTTCGAAAAAGCCCCATGGCATCGTAAACATTGGAATCATCATCTCGCGAGACATTTTTGGGAATGTTGTTTTCTTCCGCTAACGTCGAAGAGAATAAAGTGCTATGCACGAGTCACTGTTTGTTGTAGGAGCGATCGGGCACAACTGTCTCTCACTGGCTTGACACACGCCTTAAAAGAGGCGGGACAGCTGATAAATTAGGTCACGTGTGTCCGTATTATTGTTAGTGTGTGTGATCAGCGTGTGTGTGTGTTTGTTATGTGTGTGTGTGTGTGCGTGCGCGCGCACTCGCGTTTTCAGAGAAAAACAGACATTTCCAGAAAAATCTGGAACTTTGCTGGCGTTCTCTCTTCAACTGTCGTTCTCCAGTAAGTACTGGATTCAGCAGCGGGAAATTTATAAACAGAAAGTTAATCGTATCATCTATCAGTAACTGTCATTATTAATTATTTAAATCTAATTACCTGATTTTTATTTCATTTAAAAGTAAAACAAACAACAATATACAAAAAACCTCATGTAATATAAAGTACAAACAATCCCGATGAAAATTGTGTCTGTGTGTTTGGAAGAGACAAGAAAGAGATCAAGCAAAGCAAACTGAGGAAAGATAGCGTTATTTTTTTTTTTTTTTTTTTTTTTTCACGAGTGAATAAATTTGTTAAGTCGATTCTTTTTTTCGCAAAATAGTAATATTTTTTCAGCAAACATGAATAAACATGCCGGTGTGTCAAAAAAAAAGGACGATGGGCAGCTAATAAATTAGGTCACGTGTGTCGGTATTATTGTTTGTGTGTGTCTTGAGAGAAAGAGAGAAACGTTTCCAGAAAAATCTGGATCATAGCAGGCGTTTCTCCATTCAACCGGCTTTCTCCAGCAAGCACTGGCCGCAGCGGGAAATTTACAAACAGAAAATTGGTCGTATCAGCTATCAGTAACATTAATTAATCTATTAATAATTATTTCGTATTTGTTTAGTATATTTGTACCTCTCCAGATTTTTTTATTTTATTTAAAACAATGTACAACTCCGTAGTCCATCATATGAACACTCAAGTAAAATAAAGTACAAAAAATCCCGATCTTCTTATGGGCTTCGTTCCTTTAAGACATAGAAGATCATAGCTCTCCACAATTTCCAACCACTTGTGGCCCTTAACAGTCACCCCAACTTCGCTCTCTCTCTCTCTCTTTCTCTTTCTCTCTCTCTCTCTCTCTCTCTTTGCCTGCTACAAAGAAAGAGGGCAAGGGTTTCTCACTTCTCTCTCTCTCTGCTTGCTACAAAGAAGGTGGGTGGGGGGTCTCTCGCTCTGCCTGCTACAAAGAAGGACGAGTTTATCTCTCCCTCCCTCACTCCCTTTTTTGTTCCCGCGTACCGCGACCTTACAGAGCAACTAAATGTTCATTCATCTTTTAATGTAAAAATCAACATTCTGCGTCAACTTCCACATGTGTTACGGTTTCACAAACAAAACTAAATTTATACAGAATATCTCCAAAAACATTTTTATTTTTATATTTTTTACAATAATGTTCACCCTGTACAAGGCTCAGAGGCGACTCGAGATAGAGCATTACGTTAAGGGGTACTTTATATGGATAGGAGGGGAAGATAACGGTTAACTCTAGACTTAAACACGTTAAGATTGTAGTGATCAGGGAAACATCCCCTTGGGAGTCTGTTCCACAGGGCAGTGGTTCTCGGGAAGAAGCTGTTCGAGTGGAACTTACTTCTCCCCGATGGAATATGAAGGAAATGTGGGTGGTTTGCTATGGGTTGTTTTCTGTTTCAGATTGAGTTTCCAGTCCCTTTTCCTGAAGTCTTCTCATTATCTTTCACTCCCCGTAAACCCTTATTGGTATTATCCTTTATTAAACCCTTATTGGTATTATCGTCTTACTTGGGTTGAAGGATTAAAAAAAAATGTTTCCTTTGCAACAAAACGCTTGTTTTTCTTTTGTTTAACATCTGTTTCGCTTTCTTTCAGAAACGCCATTCATATCTGATTCCGTCTTGTCAATACTTGCAATCGCAAGTCTTTGTTGAGCTTAACAACTACTTAATTTTGTTACCAATCGTATTTCTTTTTAAGGGCGCAGACGATCATGGCTCTCCACACATTCCTCTTCTTTATATCTGAGTTCACATATTTTAGAAAAGATAACAATAGTGGTTTCCCGTTAGCTTTCCGCGGTTTGGAATTCAGAGTTTTCTACCCAAGAGCCCAGACTACTCTGCTATTTAATCCATGGAGGTTGGGGAGAGACGTATTCATGCCTTTCTGAAGTACGTTGATTAGGCCAGAGTTTGAACTTGGTTCGCAGATTTCATTTTTCCCTCTAATTGTTGCACTAGACCGACATGCACATTTTGGCCTTGCTCTTACGAACTGAAAACCTTGATGAATGTGTGTGTGTGTATGTGTGTGTGTGTGTGCCGTAAATCCGTGTTTCAGTTACTTTTATTTACTTCAGGTACGGCACAACGATAGCAAGTCGCCACTACACTACCAAGTTGGGTTTATTTAATCCTTGCCAATAATAATTGATGGAAGTAATAAATCGTATTACAACATTGCTCCTAGTTAGACTAAAATAAGCGGAAACAAAAACGTACACACATGTAAATTCAGTGCAACCTCAGTTCTCGAAATTCTCACGCGTCGAAAAAATCAGATTTCGAACAGAAAATTCGAGGTGAAAATAACTCTGTTATCGAACAAAATTTCGGTTCTCAAGCAACATCACCGAACCAAGTTAACATGAACGGAGTTTTTTCCAGTTTATGGAAAATGATTTTTTTTTTCGTATATACTGACCAATGAGAGACGTTGGTCTCAAACACAAGTAACATCCCGAATAGTGGGGCAGGTGTGAGCCGAATTTTTAAAATAAATAGAGCTCAAGAGAGAGAAGACTTTTGACAGCCAAAGTGACAAGCCAGGTGAACATCAAAGAAGACATTAGTTACCGCACAGCTGCAGAGAGACCAAAAGTTCAAGTGAAAATTCTCCTGTGCTTGGACAGCCCAAAACGAAATGAATTCTAAGAAATTTTCCCAAGTACGAATTGTGCGAAGTTAAAGGTGACTTTTCTAACATTAATAACTATGACCCATAGACGCTTGTGGGGAAAGTAAAAGCAGGTTGTTTCATTTCTATTTTTTTCTCAAAGGCTGTTACATCCAGTGGCGTAGCTAAGGGGGGGGACCGCCCCCGGCGCCACCACAGGAGGGGTGACACAATATCACCCCCAACAAAATTTTTCAACCAGGCTAAGGTGCCAAAAATAGTCTGAAATCAGTAGTGGAGACACAGGGTTTCGCAGGCGGGCATATGACCCCCACCCCCAAAATAATTTATGAACCCCCCCAGTTTTGTCCCCACCCCGTCAGAAAAAATTAAATAGAACATTTTTGTCAAGAAAAATACTTTCAAACATCACTGATAATTAAGTGGTACCCAGAAAATGGTGCAACGGAAAATTGGACACCGGAAAATTAGCAACAGAAAACCATGAGCCAGTCGAGACTGTCGGATCTGGCTGTGCTGTCCATTGAAAATGAGCTTACAAGACAAACAGATTTTGACGATGTCATTGACCAGTTTGCCACAATGAAAACAAGAAAACATTCATTCTAAGACCATAGTGTCGAATGTCATTCTTTTGTGTATTGCCGTGTTTTGTATTTAGTTGTTCTGAAAGTGAACAGTTGCATTTTAAAAATCTTTTGATTTGAACCGATTATTTTGTGGTATTGGATTTTGTCTTGGATCATACATGCAAACAGTAACGTACTGATCAGTAGAGTAAAGTAGAGGTAGAGCATGTATGAAAATTTAGCTACAGCTAACCATTCAGCATAGGGTGAATCGGGGTCATTGGGGTGACATTTGAGCGGACCGCCCCGGGTGACGTTTACTCTAGCTACGCCACTGGTTGCATCTTTGTTTTTTTTTTTTGTTTTTTTTTTTGTTTTTTGTTTTTTTTGTTTTTTGTTGTTTTTTTACTGTCTTTTGTATTGTTTTCTTTTTGTCATTTTCAAAATCCTTGTCTTTTCCCAAACTGTAATTTGTTTCCATTTTTGCTGGTAATCTTTTCTATCTGAAATCGTTATCCTGCCTTAATAGGCACACAAAAGAAATTTTTTGTGCAAACTTTCTATTTGTACTCTTTTTGGTAATTGTGTAAAATAAATGTATTTTTCCCTTTAAAATTTTACTCAGTGGATTGTCTTGTTTTGTAATTAAACCAAATCGGATAATCATAGACTCTCTCTCTCTCTCTCTCTCTCTCTCTCTCTCTCTCTCTCTCTCTCTCTCTCTCTCTCTCTCCTTGAGTAAAGAATCTTGTTAGGAAAAAATGACGATTTTTTTTTTCGCCGCAAAGTTTAGAACATCAAAGCCCAGTTCAAATACAAATTTATTATTGTTTTTACTGTTTATATTCGGACTATTGTCCTCATCTTTGTTGTTGCTATCACAATATTTTGGCCGTTGTCTCCTCCGCCCATACTCAGGTGTATATCAGTATGGGTAACTTAAAGGCAATTCTGAACTGAACCTTTTATTTAATCTATGTAGATTAAATCCCTGCAGGTTTACCCAGATAGATACACACCTGAAGATGTCTGGGGGACACAACGTCCGAAACATTGTGGCAACAACAATAAAGATGAAGACAATAGTCCGAATATAAATAATGTAAATAATGATAACTCCTTGTCTCAGAAATTCAGACAACACATTTATAATATTTTTGTAAAAATACAAAAATGTGACCCAAAGGTGATGGGGAGGGCTGGTCTTCAATTGTCATTTCCAACCTCAGTCCCATTAGCACGAATATTATTCCTTTCACAAAAATACTATATCTATTCTTACCAGTTATACTAAAAAGAGGCCGGCTACTCATTTCCGGGTACACTCCCAGTTGCAGACGCCTGCTCAGTCACATTTGTATTTCTTCAATACCTA